AGCAGAATCAAATGTTGAACAAATTCAGACCAGGGGCCAGAAATGAAGCAAGACATTGGCTTGTGGACTTCTGCAAAACGAAAAACTTGTCCATCACAAGCACGTGCTTCCAACAGTTGAAAGGCGGACCTCTCAACTGTTGGCACCTGGACCTCAGAGATGGTCAACACAGAAATGACAGACTATGTAATAAGCAGTAACAGGAGATTGGAGGAGCTGTGTCCTCTCTGCCCAAACAAAACCAAAGCAGACTGTTGTGCTAACCATGGACTGTTAATATTGAACATTAGGGTAAAGCGGGAAAACATTGAGAGATTGTAGTGCCAAAATACAAGGTAAGTAACATTCGTGATGGATTAAAGTCAACATAAAGATCAGAGCTGCACTGTTAGACTTAAATGCCCGAGAGCCAGAACTGTGAACTGAAGCAAGAAATATTTTTATGGAGAGAATGCGAAAAGACAGTGCTGGAAATAAAAAAGGAAAAAAAAAAAAAAACCCCTTGAGATGGATGACAGAAAAAAACCTCTGAAAATTTTTTGAGACAGGAGAGAGGCAAAAATGACAAAAGCAGGGTTAGACTTTTCTGAATGCAGTTTTCAATGACTATCATGCAGAGATAAAGAAAATGATTACAGCATCAAAACAGTCAATGTAAGGGATAGAAGAGAACAAGAAAGTAAAAACAAGAGATCTTTACCAGAAGATTCAAGAAATAAGAGAGAGAAATCCAAATCCTGATTAGGAATGCTGCACGACTTTACAGAAGCACATTATCTGGTGAGGAGAAAATAATGACAAGGTGGAGGCAGCATACTGAAAACCTACACGGAAAAGGTGAAAAAAAAATAACAGGCCCTTCTGAAGAGCCCTATGAGGAAGAATTCTACACAGCAAAGTGAAAGCTGCCCCGGAAGTGTTGGGAAGAAACTAATCACCAGGGGTAGATAATCTGTCAAAACACTAACGAGACGAGGTCAACATGGAAAGCAAGACCAATGGCCTACAGCCTGGAAACATTCAGTACACATCCCAGTCGTCAAGAAAGGAGATGCCGAGAAGTGCAGTAACTATGTAAGACCACTGCTGTAGTTTCCCATCCAGCTGCAAGCATTTGCTGGATACTGGAGTGCTCCAAAGAATTTCAGTTACTCTGTTTTATAGACTACAGAAAAGCCCTTGACTGTGTCAATCATGAAAAGCTATGAACTGTTCTGAAACAGGGATGCCCCAGGACTCCCTCCTGACACACACCCTGCACTGTGAGCAGGAAGCTGCAGTGAGGACAGAATATGGAATCAGAATGGTTTCCTATCAGCAAAGGTGTCATGCAAGAGTGCATTTTATCTCCCTATTTGTTTATTCTGCCCACAGAACTGGGCCAGATTAAGAGGAAAAAGTGAAAATTGATAGAAAAAATATTAATAACTTAAGATATGCAGAAGACATCATTTTACTGGCAGAAAGTATCAATGACTTGAAAAGACCTCTGATGAAAGTGTAAGAAGTGCGGAAACAGGGCTGCATCTGAACACAAAGACAAAAGTCTTGACTGCAGAAGAAACACAAGTTTCACACAGACGTCGAAGATGCTGAAGTTGTTAAAGGTTTTGCTTACCTTGGCCCAGTCATCAATTCAAATGCAGACTCAGCCAAGAAGTCAAGACAAGGCTGAGACTCAGAAGGGAAGCAATGAAGAATTAGGAAAGATCCCTAAGAGCAAAGATGTGTCATTAGAGACCACAGTTAAGGACAGCTAAATGCCTGCATTTCCAATGACTACATATGAATGTGAAGGTTGGGCAGAAAAGACGGCTGATAGGAAAATACTGAAATCATCTGAATTATGACACTGGAGGAGGTACAGATACCTCTGGCAGCCAGGATGATGAATAAGTGGGTTCTAGAGGACATGAGGCCTAAAATTTACCACTGGAGGCAAAAATGGCAAAGTTGCCCCTATCTTGGGCATGTCACTAGAAGGCAGATTTCTTTGGAAAAGACAGTAACACTGGGTAAAACAGAAGGCAAAAAGGAAAAAAAAGGCCAAATATGAGATGGACTGATTCTATGAAAGAAGCCATAGGCATGAATCCACAGGAGCAGAGTAGGTAAGGACAGAACATTGTGGACCCTATCACTCTGTCGCCAGGAGCCAGAACTGACTTGTTGGCATGTAACACATACACGAGATTTGGAAATGAAATGATGTTACGTGGGAATAAAAAAATCTGACCTAAAACTGTACACACATTATGACCATAACCAATTTTTGAGTATGAAATACACCAAAAGTTTGGATGTAGTAGCAGAGTAGGACGGCCTCCCTACTACAGAAGAGGAATGGATACGCTCTTCTGTAAAGAGGTTTTATTGACTAGTCTCTGATTTTAAAACTTTTGTCAAAAACAAACAAACAAACAAACAACCCCCCCCCCCAAGAAAAAACCCTCAGAATGTTAGTCTCTTACCATTTGGCCCAAGTGATGTTCTCATTGTATTTGCTACAGCCTTCGCTGCCATTATATGAGACTAAATGAAACAGAAAAAGCAAATATTCAAATTACATATAAGCTTAATAGTTCAAAGCATACAGCTGATGTTTGATTTTAAGACCACTTTGCAATGCTAACTCCAGGTGAGAGCCCAGCTGTAAACACAGGTCACACAATGGTTTACCACAGAAACACGCTCTTCTCTCAAAAGGTACAGCCAATACATAACCTGAACACAAAAACTCATCCTTGCTTGTCACCTGCCAAGGGTATCAATACTGAAAGAAATGGAAGCTTGAAGCCACTTGTTCCTGTTTCTGCACATAATTAGGTCCATTTTTGCTCCATGTCTCGCTTTCTTTCTGTTCTTCCTGTCATAACCTAACCAGATCTGCAGGACCCTGCAGAAATCCAGGGTCTCTTATCTTACCTCCTTTCCTTCAGATTCATCCTACATTCACCTAAGCCACCCATTTTTCTGTCACTTCAGTCCCAAAATGTCACTGGCTCCCTCTCCCTGCCCAGTGTCTCAAGAAAGTCTAAAAGCTGCACAAAGTCCTCCACAAGAAACTAGGTCTCGGACTGTATTATGTATTACATTATTGAATATGTAATACAAGTGGCCTGAGTACTGACCATGAATCAAACACTGTATGGTCACTCCTCAGGTTACCCCACTTAACACTCATTTTCAGCTTGACAGAGGCACTACCCTCACTGAGAAGAGGTTCAGAGGTTGCACAACTTGTCCTAAGTCAGTCTGTGGAAGAACTGCACTATTTAAGTAAAACCCCAAGACATGAAGTGAACAGGGACCCCTCAGACCTGGTGACAAAGTCTATACATACTAATTAGTGGATCGCTTCCCTCTATAACAGACTCTAAAGCCAGTACCCTCCTGTGCTTCCTCTACTTTGTTAGTGTCTGTGCTCAGATGACCAGCCCTTACCAGGACTCCCACAATGGTGTATTTGACTCCCCTGCTCTTCCTTGTTCCCTTCACTCCAGCCCAAACTCAAAGGTACAGTTCTATGTACCTTTTGACTCTGCTCAAAGCCCCCTCCTTCCCACAGGATAGCATCTGGACTGTGGGGCATTCAAGGACTTCCGTCTTTGGAAAACTAGCATAACTTTGGGTAGATTCCTCCATCCAAACAAGGATGCACTTTCCCTCTATAACGTGCTATGCTATTTCCTTCCCAGGTCTTTGCTTTTACTGAAAGTTTCCCTTTTCCAGCAGGTTGGCTCAATCTCATTCAAAACATGACTCTACCCTTATCAAAAGCCACCTTTATCAGAGGTCTGAAGGACATCTCTTTTATCTGCATCCCCTCTGATTACTGGTGATACTAGTCACACACTGCCTTATATTTTGTTTACTGGTATCCATTTCTCACCGCTACTGTTAAGGAAGGTTGTATTTCCTTCCTTAAGGGTCTACCTACCATTAAAAACTTTTACAACACTGCACCCAAGAAAACGCCATACACAAAAGATACTAAAAAATAAAATACTCTGTAAATGACTAAGCCTTTGGGAAATGACAAAATGAACTTCCATTTCTTCTAAGGTTGTGGCAAATACACTAGCAGAAGATTAAGCATCAAAGTCTTAAACGTCCCGGTGACTTGAGAATACTATGTCTGCATTTTTACGGACAAAAACACTGAACCGCAAAGCTGCCAGACTGGAGAAACGAACGAGACGCGGGTTCACGGCTTGTGACTTAAAAACTGCCCCAACCAACTGCGAAAGGCGCGTGAGACTCTCCCCAACCCCTAAAGGTTTACAGGCTGGCCCGTCCCAAACTCTAGGAGCGGGGTGTGGAGCCGCACACAAGAGGAATTCCCTAAGCTTTTACCCAAAGCACATGGCAGAACCAACGCCAGGCTTGCGCAGGCGCAGAGCCACGGGTTTCCGCCGTTTCTTCGCATCCCACCGCCAGTGGGATCCGGTCCCGTTACCTTGAGAGCCTCCAGTCCCATAAGACGAGTCTTGCGGTCCTGATCCTTAATAATGAGGAAAGGGCGCCCATATTCATCGAAGGCGAGAGTCCCGACGGACGCCATGGTGCAGCACCACAGGTTACTTTTCCGCAACCGGCCGAGACCACTCCGGAACCAAGAACACACCTTCCGCCCAAGGGCGGATCACAGCTCGCGCACGCGCAGTGCAATGTGAGTGAGACTTATTTTTCACTGGAGACTAGTTTAACGCCAGACAGTACTTTCTCGAAGCGGCGGCTTTGGGAAACTTCTATCATCCAGAAAGCTGTGGAGGGGTGTGGAAGTTTGAAGTCACGGACGGGAACTTTAGAAACACAAGACAAGAGGAGATAGAACTTAGTTATTTCGTGAAGTTTTATAATTGTAAGTATTTGGATATTGAATCCCAACAAGGAACTCATTTACTTAGAGCATTCTTTTCTCCCTCCTTTCTACCCCTATTCCAAAAAGATGGTATAACCCAGTTCCGGGTTTCCCCCCCCCCCCACCGTTTGATTGCCGGAAATCTCGCGATGGAAGGAGGAGGCGGTGAGATTGACAGGGCATGGCGCGATCCTTGGATGCAGTCCTGGGTATAGATTCGCCTTGGGGCATGCTGTCGCCCGGGGTCGCTTTCCTGGAGTCCGTCCCTGTGGGGTGGGAGTGGGAGCCTCTGGCGCTGTTCTTCACTAACTCTGTGTCTGGCGTTGGGTGCGTGGTGCTCTTGCCCGCCTCGCCCCTTCTCTTTTCGGGGCTTGCGGGACTTCCCCGTCTGAGTCGTGGGTTGCGAGTGCGTTTGCTTGTACTGGTATCTAGTTGCCACAACCTGTTCAGGGCGAATGGGTCACACAGTGCTTGGCAGGCTCTTAATGTGATATGGGCACTGCAGTCCCACCGCCTGGGTGGGAATCACATCTCTGGTATTTTACTAGCTATGACTTTGGGTTAGTGCATAATCATCTCTGTGCCTCAGTTTTCTTGTCTGCAATGGTATCAATAATATTGTAGGATCTGTCTTACGAAGGTGCTATATGCATTCAGGGAGAACAGTGCCTGGCTCTTAGCAAGCTGTTTAAGTGTTAAGAAATGCCCATTTTGCGCATACGGTCCAGTAACTTGCCCGTTATACAGCTGGTTAGTAAGAAGCAAAATTGCACAGCCTCGGGCTAAGGGTCCCACTGTGAAGCCCTGCGTTGTTCTGCCTCGGAAAGCTCTTTCCTGGCAACGCTAAACGAATAGTACTCGGTCCCTTAAGTCACTTACACTGCTTTCTTTTCTTTTTCAATAGATTTTATTTATTATTTTTAGAGAGGGGAAGAAAGGAAGAGAAGCATCAGTGTGTGGTTGCCCCTGGCGCACCCCCCACTGGGGACCTGGCCCGCAACCTAGGCATATACCCTAGACTGGGAATAGAACTGGCAACACTTAGAGTCCCAGGCCGGCTCTCAACCCCTAAGCCACACCAGCCAGGGCTGCTTTTTCTTTAGAACACTGATCATGACCAAATATTTTGTGTATATTGCTTATGAGTTTTCATCCTTCCTGTACTCCAACTGCCAAAGAACACAGACTTACTCCTGTTTATTCCTAGTCTTTATTAGATACTCAAATGTTGAAATGAATGTATGCATTACATCATGGTTAAACCTGGCCTGAAAGTCAAGAACTGGCTTTGTCACAGGAGGGTTGGTGATCACTTAACCTCACTAATTCTCAAGTTCTCAAGACGATGATGGTCCAAGGACATTTTAGATTTTGGAGGCAAGTCTCAATTCACTTCAACTTTGCTGGTTCAGCATTTTCTCATTTCAAATGGTGAATTCTGCAATTTCTTTGGCTCATTAGATTGTTGTGAAGTATAGGAAATGTCTAAAGATGTTCTCCATACAGTTCAATTTTATTTCCTGTAAAACATAAGGGAAGAAAGGTTTTTCCTAGTATCATTAGGTGCTGTATGCCAAAAGCACACAAATGACATTAAAACAGTACAAGAAAGTCTTCTTAAAGGAGTAAAAATATGTTAAAGGGACATAAATATATGCTTTAGTTTTTCAACTGGTATGTGAACACAAGTACACAATAGCTTTTAAATACTGTGACATTAAAATATAAAGCCAGTTTTAAAACACAGTGTGGTAGGTTACAATTCCAAACAGGCTTGCTCTTTTTTTTCATAGCCTTCTTCATTTTGCTTGAACTTAGATGAGAACTCTGTGTACATTTTTGTGCATCTTAGTCATTGCATCTAGCTTTAGGTGATCCAGATCTGTCCCTGAAAATTGAAATTTTCAACAATTAACAGAAGTCAGTAACTAGGCAAGTGTGGGGACCACAGAAGTTCACCTTTTTGAGTCCTTTACTTTCAAGGACTGACTGCCTCCCAAATGCTCCATGAAAACAGCCAGTGGCCACCACAGCTCTCAGTTAATGGAATGGTTCAGTGTTCCAAAGAGCACATGTGACAGAAGTCTTTGTAACTTATTTATATCATAGTAAACAATTGCCTGGGTTGTTGGCCAGGTCCCCAGGTGGGGGCCTGCAAGAGGCAGCCTATTGATGTTTCTCCCTCAGATCCATGTTTCTCTCCTTGTTTTCTATCCCTTCCCCTCTCTCTAAAAAAACAGTAATAATAGAAAAATCTTTTAAAAAAGGGTGAGAAATTTGTAGAAAGTCTTGATTTTAGTTTTGAATCTTCAGGGACTGGTTTTTACTGATAAAAATCTAAACATTTTTTAATTGAATGGAGGTAATGGTGTAGTCATACATTAGATTTACACAGTAACTTTAAAAGAGCTCATACAAATTTCTGTGACGTTAATAGACTTGCAGGTGTAAAACCTTGTGAGAGAAAATTCAGTGATATAATTAAGGGATACACTGCTGCAGGTATTGCGTTTCTTAAAAACACAAATGCTGTAGTGACTTAGCTCAAAAAATTTCATCCCAGTGCGAAAGAGTAAAATAGACACTTAGCCTGGCATCACGGTCTCACACTTGCCTTCCTGTGCTATCTACCACTCTGCTCAGCAAATGGTTTCCCCACCTTTAGTGCCTGAGGTCCAAAGCTTGCTTCTTTTGCTAAGGCCCTTTTCCCCATCACCCTCATGCACAGATCAAATTCTGTGTGTTAACATCTTCGTGGTTCCATCGTTGGGATCCGTCTTTCTTCCACCTCCCCCTTTGTTTCCACAGCATTTTGAACACCTCATAGCATTTCTTACAACCTGTGTTGTGTATGTCTCACTGGGACCCTACCATGCACACAGGTTAGATGGGAGGCCCTGAAGACAGGAGCTCTTTTTTATATCTTTTGCTGGTTGAATTGAAGGATATAAGTCTACACAGGTGAAATAGAGTTTGGGTTGTCTGCTGGCTTATGCTGACTAGAGAAACTCTATTAATGGACAAATGGATAAACAAAAATGTGGTATATCCATACAACAGAATCGTCATATTTGGCTATAAAAAGGAATAAAGTATGGATACATGGTACAACATGGATGAACCTTAAAAACTATGCTAAATGAAAGAGGACAGTCACAAAAACCACGTACCATATGATGTCACTCCTGTGCAAGTCCAGAATAGGAACTCTATATAGAGACAGAAAGTAGACTGGTGGTTCTTAGGGCTAGGGAGTGAGGGGGAGGACGGGGGGGGGGTGGTCATTAAGGGGTTTCTGCTTGAGGTAGTGAAAATGTTCTAAATTTGTGACATAATAAAAATTTTAAATTCTGCATATTAAGTTTTATATGAATTACATCTCAAAAAAGTTGTTAAAAATTATTCATTCCCCCCACCCTACCCCATGATAATATTGAGAATAATCATGGCAGCTAACAGTCATCACTCTTCCAGGCCTGTGCTAAGGGCTTTATATACATTATTTATTTAACTGATTCAATAACCCTATGAAGATAGTATTATTTCCAAATCTTACAGGAGAGGAAACCCAGCCTGAGCAACAGCTTACCTAACAGCACACAACTAGTAAAGTTCTGAGACTCCGGAACGGTGTGACTGGAATCCTTTTAACTGCAGTGCTGTACAATTGGGATGCCCACAGGATAATTTTATACAAAGCATGGTAGATGTGCTTTGACTATTTAAAAAATAATCAAACGCATGACTACTATGGTGTGTGGGGTCCTCCATACAATGCTGCTAAGTCTAACTATGAATGTGTAGAAAACTCTTGCTTTCTATCAAACACCAGCATCTTCCTAAACTTTACTTTTATTTTACCTCCATTACTAGCACCAGCAGTAGAGTTTTGTTGTTTTTGTTTCTGAGTTGGTTTCTGCCACGATCCAGCTTTAGAATTCACTTTAGAGAAACTTAGACGTCAGGAAGAGCAAAGCTCCGTTGTGTGAGAGGTACTGTTGGTTGGTCACCGGCCCTGGAGCATAGACTCACTACTGTGAACCAACTTTTAGTGTGTCTTGTGTTCAAATTTGTACCTCCCCAAATTATAACACCACTTGTCATGGGTGTGGAATGTGGAACAATGACCCCCACTCCCAAATAGGCCCGTGTCCTAATTCTAGGAACTGAATGCGTTACAGGAGAGGTTTTTGCAGATGGGATTAAGTTAAGGAATTTGAGATGGGGAGATTATCCTGCATTAGCAGGGTGGGACTAATGTAATTACTGGGGTCTCTATAAAGGAAAGAGAGGCCAGAGGGTCAGAGAAAATGTTATGATGATAGTAGAAGTTGGAATGTTGTGGACCACTGGCCAAGGAATGTGATTGTTCAGCCTTTGGAAGCAAGAAGAAGCAAGTTAACCCATTTCAGACAGTTGACCTCTCAGAACTGTGGGATAATAAATGGGTATTGTTTCAACCCACTAAATTTGTGGCAATAGGAATCTAATCCACTGGGCTTTTGAATGGCTTGCTAATTACTGAAACTGAGAAGAATCTGTTGTCCTCCCCCCTTTCCTCTTCTCGCCTTTTCCTGTGGCTTCCTGTGTTTTTAATCTTAGCTCCTCAGCTAGATGGTTCACTTCTTCAGGGCAGGATGATCTTGTTCCCTGTGGGGTTCAAGTGCCAGGCACTGTTCTGAGTGCTTTACAGGCTCCCAGCCATTTCATCCTCACAATGACCTTGTGATCCCCACTTTGCAGATGAGGAGACTGAGGTTCAGAGAGGGGAAATCACACCATTGGCAAAGTATGTGCCTGGGGTCTTAAATACCCAGGCTCTCAGGCCCCTGCGCTTACCTGAATGCTGTGTGCCTCATTAATCAATTTCAAAATTAATTTCAAAGCACTTTCAATCTAAAATATCTGAGATCTTATTAAGAATGCATTTTAAAGGATAAAACTCAAGAGGAGGATATATAAGATACCATTTCACCGTGATTAGTGATGGGAATTTTTTTGCTTTATTACTTTTTATTACTTGTGATGGCATTGAAATGATAATTTTACTTTTTGTTCTTTTTAGATCTGCTTTAAAAATCTCATTATTACCATAGTTCTTTAAGATTTTTAGTGAAACCTGAGTCTTGTCTCTTATTACTTCAAATTGTCTGTTTCTAACTAGACTAGCGATGCCTGACCAATTTTGATATGAAATCCTTTCATCCTATATGAAACAGGGTAATAATTAGATATTTTCATGCTTATTTGTTTATGAGGCTTTGTTCTGAACCATAAAATATGGAGTTCTTGGTTAACATTTGTATTAATGGATATTGAATTCCTAAAATACCAAATAGGTATAAATACATTGTTTCCTAAAGTTGACTCTTAGAGACAAAAAAATAAAATGTTGGAAAGAAAAGAGTTTAGTCTTCCATTAGTATCAAATAATTTTCTCTAAAACACCTTAATTTAGTTCATGGAATTTAGAACTCATTATGGAATCCCACACTAGTAATTTAAATTGTATTCAGTTCAATTATCTTTGTTTAAAAAGCATGCATTTATGTCTTAATAAGAATGTAGAAAAATACTACCTTAAATTTCAGGTTTGGAGCTACCTATGTATTTTCTGCTTGCTCTCAATCTAGGTGCCCCCCCAGAAACACTTCCAGAAGAAAGTCAGTCAGGGTGTGTTCTACCTGCGAGTCTTAAAGGCAGCAGTGTGAAGAAGAGCAGCTGGGGCTTCTTCTTTACTGGGCTTGTTGGCGGGACACTGGTGGCTGTGTACGCCGTGGCCACTCCGTTTATAACACCTGCCCTCCGAAAAATTTGCCTGCCTTTTGTGCCTGCAACTACGAAGCAGGTCGAAAATGTCGTGAAAATGCTGCGAAGTGGAAGAGGACCCCTGGTGGACATTGGTAGTGGCGACGGTCGGATTGTGAGTGGCGATAACGCATTTTAAGGTTTAGTGCCAGAATTGTTAAAATCTCTCATGTTTCATATGAGGTTTATGCAAAGACTTGCTAAACCTGACAGTTTAATATAAAGTAGTCATTTCATTTTGTGTTTGGCTGAACTGTCACAACTTCCAAGGTGAATTCGGAATGTATTTTCCTCAGATTTAATTTTTTGCTTAAAGGAAAAATTTCTCTGTAGGTATGTGAGGTAAAAAGGTACAATTAATTGGTAATTGTGAAATTGCCCATTAAGGAATTTGGGCTAATACAGGTGGTATAGCTAGAAGAAACATTAAATCATGGAGTTCCACTGTTTTACATTTTCACCATATATGTTTGCTCCTACATTTACCTATACTTACACATGTGTAATTCCTATGGGGTAACAGTAAAGTAGGGAAGAGCATTAACCCCTACTTTTTGAAAGGTCAGATTTTAGTGACTTGAGCTCACTTTAACCCACCCCCCACAACCCACCGCTGGGAAGCCGTGTTACTTACTCAAGGTCAGTGACTAGCAAACGGGTGTCTCGGAGCATGTTTCTTCATGCATAAGGTGACACCTAAGGATTTAGGCCTCCATTCAATGAGCTGAACGGTGAGGGTAGCAGTAGTCAAGGCCAGTATTCTGGAAACCTCTCGTGTGGAGACCAGCAGGCCTCCACGATGCCTTTCAGCAGCCTCTGCCCACATGGGCCCTGCATTTTCACCATGGTGACCCAAGAATAATCAGGAAGAGGTTAAAAAGTGCCCTCTGTTTTTAAGAAATCAGAAGATGTATGTATTAATCAGGAGGAAGTTTTAAAATCCCGATTTGAATGCTTTACATGTTTGAATAGTGTCTTTATGATTTCTGTGAACATGGTTTCTTCTTAAGGGGCGACACTGTAGTTACTCCGGAAATTACTGTAGGTGGGATGGCTCCTTCAGGGATGCTCCCGTGGAGAGCGGCGGCAGGACCAGATGAGCCGAGAGACCAGCCCACTCTCCCTGTCCCCTTACCTAGGTGGTGGCATTGGCAGTTGACTTTATTCTGATTTGTTCCATTTTACTTTAACCTGTTTTCCATTTTGAGTGAGAATCTTAAATAGTAAGGAAATGTGTAATAAATTGCAAGTTCTTTATGGACAGGTTATTTTTATTGCATATTCCAGCTAGTTCACAATACATTCATCTTGCCTGCTGGTGTGATACCACTGATGGAGAGAGGCTGGGTTTTCAGCAACCTCTGTCAGGCTGACCCAGAGGTCGGCCAGTCCAGAATTAATGACATAGTTATCTGAGGCAAACCTGACGATTTGCTCTGATGCTTGAGGTGAAATCTTTGACAAAACACGGAATTGGAATTAAAATTGGCTGGCATTATCTTGTCCACAAATCTGCATAATTTTAGAGATCTATCTTTAAATGCTATCTTGAACAAAGGAGGTGACTTTTGATTGGATGTTTTGTGATCGTAGTCCATAAATAGGAAATATATCATTTTTCGGTTAAGTTGATGTTTATCTTTTTATCTTGAATAAATACCTCTTTCTGCAGGTGATAGCAGCTGCAAAGGAAGGATTCACAGCTGTTGGTTATGAATTGAACCCATGGCTAGTTTGGTACTCCAGATACCGTGCTTGGCGAGAAGGGGTACAGCACTTGGCCAAATTTTATATTTCAGATTTGTGGAAGGTATGTAAGGCAGAGAACAGTCCTAGGACACTCCGTCCGAAACTTTAAACTTCATCATTAATATGATTGCAAACTGAAAAATGTAGAAAAATAATTAAAATACAAGTGTATATTTTAGTGTAATGAAATGCGAACACATTTATTTATTTATTTTTAAGGATTTTATTTATTTTAGAGGGGAAGGGAAGGAGAGAGGAAGAGAAATATCAATGTATGGTTGCCTCTTGTGCATCCCCTGCTGGGAACTGGCCTGCAACCCAGGCATGTGCCCTGACTGGGAATCGAACCGTGATCCTTTGGTTTGCAGGCCTGCACTCAATCCACTGAGCTATGCCAGCCAGGGCTGAACACCTTTTAAATGGAGAGCTTTGCATATTGACTACTTCATAGTATAAGCTTAAGGTTTACAACATATTGAGCGTGTGAATCCCAAGAATTTGCCCAACTAAAAAGTTCTCATTTCTATTGCTTTCAAAATTTTGATCTCATTTGGAAATCCTATAAATTGTCATATAGGTATTAACTTACTAATGTTCTTGGTAAATAGTAGACTTTTCTGTGTGTGTGTTCACATGTGTGTATATTTAGAGAGAGGCAGAGATGGGGCAAAGAAAAGAAAGAGTCCACCAGCCATGCTTGCTGTGGTTTCTTCTGATCTTCATAAAGTGTAGGACACTTCCAAGTTTATTAGTACTCTTAAAAAAAGCTTTGTAATTTTGCTTTAGGAATGCTCCATGAAATAGCTTTCTTAAATAAGAATTTACCATTGTGATGGTGTCATCAGTAGCTTATAACAATTTACTTGTGTTTTGCTTGCAGTTTTTTTAATACCATATATACATAAACGATCTCTCTGAAAGATGACTTTTATTGGGCAATGAGAATTTTGACTGGCAAAGCACTTCCCCTCCCCCAGTTTTTCAACTAAAGACCATTTTATTGCATTTCTTACTTACTGTTTCAGAGACAAGGAGAGAGATGGGAATTTTAAGGATAGCTCAACATAAAAAACCAGTGGTCTGAGATCCCTTGATTTCTTGAAAAGCGATCTGGTATAGAGCAGGAAAGTGTGGACCTGGTACAAGTGGCCCAGGGCCAACTGTCTTGGCCACCAGCTGGTCATTGGTTGAGTCATCGGCCACCTGATAGATGACCCCTGGGGCGGGCCTGGCGTAGAGTCGCTGTGAGGATGGATGAGATGACTTATGGGGAAGCATTTGGAAAACTGATGGATTGAACTAACGTGAATGAAAGTGAGCATGTACTTTTGTCTTATGAAATCTGAAAGGAGGCTACTCTGTGACAAGCTACTATTTGGTGAAATGGAAAATTACTACTCATTTTGAAATAAAAATTAAGCAGGATATTTGGTTTTTAAAAATTCACCTATGAATGATTTCCTTCTCTTTAGGTTACTTTTTCGCAGTACTCAAACGTTGTTATCTTTGGGGTGCCTCAGATGGTGAGTGTGCATGCTTGTGCCCCGTCTGTTTGGTTGCAGGTCCTGAAGGCCCTTCCAGCTTCATCTCGTGCAAAACGGGGGCCTCCCAGATATCCGGAGGGGGACTGGATTTCAGTGTATTGGTTAAACAATACTTCAGGGTCTTACAAGGTTAATCATAAATTATCCAGTCTTATTTTTAAACTGTTGCTGCAGATAAAAATCTCAGTTCTCTAAAGCACTAAAAACTCTGGAGACTTCATGAGCTCCCAGTGTCGGAAGTAGTTGGAGGTTTTCATGGTCGCTCCCTTCTGTCCAGCTGAAATCCCTTGGGAAAGGTAGTGGGAATGCTCCCTTTGAATTGATCGTTCCTCTGATTTTGCAGTAAGGTAATTCTCAGGGCAGATGAGCACTGACTAGTTTCAGTTGACCTCAGATGACTGATGTGTACTGAACTTTGATTGTGTACTTTCAAAAGTGAAAGAGCTTCAGCATTGCACTGAAAATGGTCCTAAGTTTAGCCTTTAGGAAGACAACCAGGATGGGATGCTTTTGTTGTAATTGTTGCTTTACAGACCATGGAAAGAAGTCCTGTTTCACTTTTCAAAGTCGGTAATTGTAGCCATAATAATCTTGGTGAAATTGGCTGTTTGTTGAAGTGCCACTATAAAACTGATGTGGTTTTCAGTTTTAAAAAAAGAAATTTACTTTTTGTTTTCTTATTCATATCTTAATTTTTGTTCAAGAAGTTTTAATGCTTGAGAAATTTATTCATATCACTAGACCCTTCAGTGCAATGCCATTTTCTTTTATTTTTGAAGTCGATTTAGAAGTGTTGTGTTACATATTTTTGAAAGTGACAGGATTCTGTATGTTTGTAATTTTCATTAAGCCTGAAATTAAGATGAAACCTGGGTGTCTACACTTCTGTTGTAGAAATGAAAAGAGGCAGAAGGGCATGATCGTTGGCCATTAAAAACAAAACTATTCGGGATCATAGACTTACTATGGAATTTGATGGTTATTTTACTAGTTATGATGTTTGGGCATTCGTTCAGAATAACGAGCGTTGGGGAATATGACTAATTTGAAATCCACGCTTTCTAAAAATAGGAACTTGATTTTGGGGGGGACTTCCATGCAGTGTTGAGAGGTTAAATGCTGGTCTGAGATGTGGACTTACGAAGCCACGGCAGCTGTGTCCCAGTGGGGGGCAGCAGTGGCCTTTGGTAGTCACGGTCACACCGTAACCTGTGCCTCCAACTCATTGTGCTTCTCTTATCATGGCTGAGGTAGGGGCAGTTTTTGGAGCTGTTCACTCAGGGGAGAGAGTCCTATTATCTTCATGAATGCTTTTGCATTTATTGTCCATTCTTCTTAAATGAACATAGAAAACTTCTTAAATAAAGAACTTATAGTATTTTATTACCAAGAAAGAGGGGAGCAGCTGACATGTAGGAAGCACCTACATTCTTTGGGATGGCAGGGATTCAGCCACCTTGCGGTTTTCCACGCAGGTGGATTAATCATAAGTACAGGGGGCCCAGGTGGCTTCTGTTGGGTTAGGAGGCCCAGTTTCATGTGTGGAGGGCCCACACATGAAATTATTCTGCCTTCATCAAGCTTTGCCTATGTGGAGGATATGAGCGGGAGGGAGAGCACTGTCTGCGGAGCCAGGGGCAAGGTCTGCCGTCAGAGAGGTGAGTTGTGTGAGCCCTGAAAGTCCTTTTATCTCTGGGCCCCATCATTCACTCTTCTATGAAAATGCATTTCACTTCCCTGAGCACTTGTCAGTATTCTGGTCATGCCTAGGCAGTTCAGCAGAGCCAGTGTGGCGTGAAATGTTTCCTGGGCAGCTGAGGCACCTGTAGGTCATGGAGAGCCAGGAGGACCTTTAGGGAACTTCAGAGGTAGAAACCCTGGTGTTATAAATCCTCACCCTGCTTCTGATAGCAGGCTAATTATTCCTAACAGCTCTTTGCAGTCATAGCTCAAACATAGAGGTGGCCTAACATTTCAACCCTGGTGTGTCTTTAACATATAGGAATGAGGAATCCCACTGGACCTGGTAAATCCTGTAGTAGGACTGTAAATACCCACATTTAAGACTAGCTTATCTAGTGCCCAGGCCAATGTGGTTGGTTAGGGCTAATTTGGCTGGGCATCTTCCGTCACACTGAAAGACTAGCTTATCCACCGAGATCATCTTTTGAAAATGTGGAACAGATCGTTTGTATCCTTGTTTAAAACCCTTCTATGGCTTCTTGCTACTTCAAAGCAGTGAGGATAAGGCCTGACCCCTCGGCATGGCCGTGAAGCTTGGCGAGGAGTGGCCCCTACTTCTCTCAGCTGCCTGTCCACCAGCCCTGTTTTTTTCTCGATCCCTCGATGCCACTGTGTGTGGGGCTGTGTCCTTCCTCTGACTTCAGTCTCCCAGCTCTGGGCCTACATAGTGAACACCCGTTGACCACTTGTGTTCCAGTGTCTTTTCCTCTGAGAACGGTCCTTCCCCAGTGGGACGAGCTCCAGTGCTCCTTGTTTTTCACTCGCACAGTGCCTGCTGCTGTTACCTCACAGGAGTCGTTGCACATTTCCTTGTGTGGCCGCTTTGGCAGTGTTGCTACGGCCCTGCACTGCACGCCTGAGCGTGAAGGCTGGCCTGTCTTCTAGGTGCTCAGACCTCCAGCATGGCAGCCCCGGCAGAAAGTAATCACTCAGGGCATGTTTGCTAAATGAATGAATAAAAATGGTATAAACATACATGCCCATTAAGTATACTTTTCCCAGTGGGCTATTAACTTTTGTAACTTCCAAGAATGACTAATTTGAGTTGTGAATCTTGTTTTGAAATAATGAGTGAAAATATTATCAGCATGTTCTGATAAAGAAAAGCCATTCATGATTGAATTATCCTTCATCATTCATTTGACCAGTATTCATTCAGGGCCCACTTGGAACACTTTAGTGAATAAAAGAGAAAAACCTCCCTGTCCTGGGTGTTGATATGCTAGTGGGGAGATGTGAAGTGAGATGCCTATGTAAAATATATCAAGCCAAAGAACAGGGTAAGTGCTCTAGGGCAAACTAAAGCAAGAGAGGGATGGGGCAGAGACAGTGTCCCTGAAAAAGGGACATGTGGTGGTGCGGGAGGGAGCTGTGTGTCTGTGTCCAGAAGAGGGGAGCAGCGTTCCATGCAGCAGAATAGCCACTTGGAAGGCACTGCGGTGTGCGTGCCTGTTGGGTTCCAGAACTGCAGGGAGGTGGGGTGGCAGGGGCAGGGTGAGTGAGAGGAGCCAGGGAGAGGTGAGGTCAGAGAGAAGATGGGGCTGGGATGTGAAGGACTCTGGACCCTCCTAAGGTGGGAGCCAGTGCGGGTTTGAACAGAGGAGTGGAGGAACGGACTGGGGCTGAAAAGGATCACTGGCTGCCCTGGGGCGAGAGAAAGAGAGGAGTCAAGGGCAACTCCCAGGCTTTTGTCCTGAGCAACTGGAGGTTTGGAGTTGTTAATGAGCTGGGAAAGGTGCAGGTGGAGCGACTTGAGAAGATCAGGAATTCTGGGGCTGGTGCTGTTTGAGATGTGGGTGGGGAATGTGAGGTTGGTAGTGGTGGATGGAGGGCTCTGAGGCTCAGGGGAGAGGGCTGCAGATCAGGTTTGTAGGCATCGGGGCCCAGAGGACGTTGAAGCAGAGGCCTGGCTGACATCACTCAGTGAGGGAGCAGAGCCACCCAAGGCCTGAGCCCTGACCTCTGATAGATGAGGGGCACTCAGCCAAGGACTGGAGAGGAGGAGCTGGGGAGGATGACAGTGGGGCTGGGGTTGTGTGTGGGGGTGTGTTATGGAGAAGCGAAGTGAAGCCACCACCTCAGGGATGAGGCGTGATGAAGGGGCTCAAAGCTGCGCACGGCCATGTCTAATTTATTGTGTATGCCTCTGAGCTGGTTTCAGCTGAGCTTTAGGATTCTGAAGAGGTAATTAGAATATGTTGAGTTTGTGTTACTTTGAGGCCTGTGATTGTATGAGTAAGTTTGAATTCCATTAGACGTACATGACATATCACTGCTTCTCTTTGTGTATGATATCCGGACCCAAATTTGTTGCATATTTATGTGCAATTTAGTCAGTTAATTTCTTATGATTGAAATAGCTCCTTTCACTTTTAGTTTTATCTTAACTTAGCATATGACAGTCATTTGGAAATAAGAGACTGTAAATGAGAAAAGAATAATGGTAATATGAATACATTTACAATTATCCTTTTTATGAGCAAAATTACCATAAGAAACCCCTGATATTTTGGAAAAATATGTATTGTCTCATTCCTTGCTTATTTAATTTTTCCCTCAAGGAATAAACTTTTTTTAGTCATCTTTATCTGGCTGTTAAAAAAAATAGAAATATTCCATCCTTAATGGAATTTATTCTTTGTTATCTTGGTATTGATGCTAATGAAGAATCAGAATTGTGGCTCACTTTAGCCATCAGTGATGTAGAGAAGCTTTTCCAAGCCAATTTTAAAAGTATAAAATTTCTGTAGAAGTACTGTCGATTTGTCTTGATTTACTTTAGTGCCTGTAAGGGAAGTAGTTTTTGCTTGGATCTAGGTTTCTAAATACCATTTCCTGCCCAGAGGAGCTTGGAATGTGTGAGAAATGGTTGATTCCATGCTGAGGAAGGAAAGATCCAAAAACCTGCCACCCTTTTTTGAGCCCGAATATAAGAAGGTGCCCAAAATACTTATAGGAGCAGGTCCGAAGGAAAGAGAAGCCTGCTTGAAGAGCTCCCAGGAGCCAAACTGGGACAGTTTGTGCATTAGAATAAATGGAACAGTAGTGGATTGCCACTTACTGAGTGAAGTAACCTAATGGTCCATCCTACAGTGATAGCTAGCTAGGTAGATAGAGAGAAGGGAAAGCTGTGTCTGCAGTAGAAAGTAGAATTTCATCCAGAAGGAATAGTGGGGTTAGCAGATCCACACTTGGCAACCATTGCAGCAAAAATGGACTCAGGCCAGAATCATCAGTGAGAGCCACAGCTAGTGGGGGGACAGCTTGATGAATAGCTGGGTATGCATGTCCTCTCTCTCAAGGTGTGTCCCCCATTATAAAGGAAAAATAGCGATCACACTGTGGAGACACCCGACACCACCTCAACTGAGTGGTGGTCATCACCCTCAAAGCAGCAGGACCTCCTGGGCATCTGACGGGGGTGGGTCCTGAGATGTTCACAGCCCCACTAACGGGTCATTGCCAAAAGACTCACCCACTGAGTCATCATGAGCAAACACCAGAGGGACAGAGGGACCCCAGTGAGGGCTGTTTGGAAAACTAACTGGCCCATATAGTAAAGGATGTTATTGTCATGAGAGGCAAAGATGTGAAGGAACTATTCTCGATTAAAAGAGGAAACATTACAGCTAAATGCAATATGGAATCCTAGACTGGGGGAAAGCCTTGTAAAGGACATTTAGTATTGAAACACTTGACAAAATTGGAATATTACTGTTGGAATTATTTTATTGGAGCATAATGCTAAATCTGCTGAATGCAATAACTGTACTGGGGCTATTTCTTAGAAAGTATTTTCTTAGAAAACACTGACGTATGAAAGAATAAAGGAGCATGTTGCGTGCAACTTATTCTTCAATTAGAAGAAATGTTCATAGAGAGAAGAGGAAATATTGGATAAAGCAAACACGACAAACTTTTCTTGCAACTTTTCTGTAAGTTTGAAATTGTTTCAAAATGGAGAGAGTGGAAAAAATATTCTTGGGAGGTGAAGATGATAATATATTTTTAGGATATGAAGATAAATTTTAAGTGATTATTAATTTGCTGATATAATTACAATGTCAGTACTTTCAGCAAAGAATAAGATAATTTCTCCACAGGTAGATAGGTAGTAAGATGATACAAAAGTAATAAAAGGATTTTACTGTTTATATGTTGACTATCAAGGAGTCAATTATTAGTATATTATTGATATATATATTTAAAAAGTATGAAATATTTTACATTTTAAGTTGGTTGAATGTGTATAATTTTAAGCCTTATTTTATATTTTATTGAATCTAGGTGTTATTAATTTTAAGGTACACTTTTGCTATTGAAGAAGAAAATATTGCCAATTATAATTCTAAGACAATGTCAGTAGTAAGATTTCAGAGATGTTGAAATGTGGAAAAATATGTTAAATAGTTAAGATAGAATAGAGTGAAATGTTTAGGTAGGTAAGTAATTGAAACCTGCTTCTCATTTTAATTGTTGTGACATCATAATTTTAGTTAGAAAACCAAAAATCTGTGATAAAAACGGCATAGTTCACAGTTGATACTAGAAGTCCTTACAATTGTTGTCAGAGTGACTCCTGTATTTTGATGGATTGTTTGGTAACGTATCTGCCCTGAAGTGGTCTTTTTTACAATTAGCAAGGTTTACATGGGTATTTTTAGGGTGTCAAATACAGAGGGACATTTAGGAATCATTTCCTGTGACTCACTGCTTATAATAGTGACTGTCATTCTCCACAGATGCCGCAGTTGGAGAAGAAACTTGGGCTGGAGCTTCAGGATGATGCTAGAGTCATCGCTTGCCGGTTTCCTTTCCCACACTGGACCCCAGACCAGGTCACTGGAGAGGGGATAGACACTGTGTGGGTGTATGACATGAGCACCTTCAGAGGGACTGAACAGAGGCCGTGAAGGTCAATGCACTTTCAGTTGCTCATTCGAATATATAACTTATTGAGAGTCTTTTTCTTGAGTGTTGGTGGTCTTTGATTTTACGGAGACATTTTACAGGGAGGTAACAGCCGTGTGTTTAGCAAAGAGTATACATTTGTTTGGCATGGCATGAGAAATTACTGTTACTTTCCTTAATCGTTGGAGGAAACAAACAAGTTCTAAACAGTTCGTAGATTTAAAGTCCCCTTTCACGGTATATTCTACAAAATGTGCTTATAGCTTTTATGCCCTTGGATATATGAAAATATGAATAAGTGATGGATGTGGGTGGGAAAGAGGTTGACAGCTCTTCACATTTTGAAGAATATGATTTAATGCCACAGATGAGAAGAAACAATTTAAAAAAGATGTCTATTAATAAATGTTTGCTGTTTCCTATAACTTTATTCATACTTAAGATTTATCTCTTCTCTATATGTTCATGGCAGCATTAATTTTCTAAGGGATTTAGAGAGGCATTTAGATTTTATAGCATTTATTAGGAATAACTTGTTCCTAGGCTAGATTACCATATTGTATTGAATCTAAGAGGTGTATGTGTGTGTGCAAATGTTAAGTATTTTAACATTTTTGAAATTGTTCATATAAAACAAATGATGTTTTTTATAGCTGTATTGGGCAGTGTTGTGCATAATCAGTTACCAGTGCTAGAACCTTGGGTTTGATTAAATAGGGTTTTCAGAGAAGATAAATGAAGAGTGGAGTGATTGGCAATGATTTAACAGTAATAGAAATGGATGTGAGCTTTGGAGTTAGCTGCCCTGGGTTCAGGTCCCTGCTGGTCCGCAGCAGGAGGCCTTGGACACTCTCAGAGCCTTGGTTTCCTGAGTGTCCTTGTCATTGGCATGATGTACTCAACAGGGAGACAGATTTGTAAAACTCAGTGTGTTATCTTTGGTCTGTAAATAGTATTTCTTACTACTTCAGGTGCTAATGAAAAGCCGATTCACAGAAGTTAGTAGATTATTTCTCCTAGTCACTTCTTTATTTTATGAAAGCAGCCATTTATTGAATATTTCTCATTTATGAGAAGAGATGACTGATTTAGATAAAGACAAGTTAAGGAAAACCTTCAAATTTGAGTAGGCAGGTTTCATATATCTGAAAAATTAATATTGAGTGGTAGCTCTACTAATCCCTGCTTATCACAGAAAAGAATTGAACTCCCAGCCATACCCCTTATAACCTAAATACCAAACTGTCTTAGAGATCTGATAAAATAAGGTGATTTGTGTCTTTTACTAACCTTATAAAAATGTGATCAATTTGATAATTTTTATTTAAATGAGAATCAACTGGGGACTCATTAATTCATTCAGCAAATACTGAGTGTCTGCTCTGCAAAGAGCTTTTCCAGTTCAATGGTGAATGGACAGGCAAAGCCCCTAATCATGAAGAATTTATGTTCTGGAAGTAGAGACAGAGATAAGGTGAGTGAATGTTACTGTGTGTGAAGTTCTTGGAAAGAAATAAGTGTGATAGTACAAGGAGCAGCTGTGTGTGTTATGGGTGAGGGGATGGGGTGGTGTGGACATTTGTCAGGGTGTTGGCTGCCACCATCTTTCCCCTTCCCACTCAGCCCTGATTTCCTAATGAAGAACAGATTGTCTGCCATGGCGTGCAACTTTGGTGTCTGCCCCTCACTGTCACCTCCGCTGTGGCCAGCCCTATTACTTGGCTGGGCTTGCTTGGAGAGGGACCCATTGTAGCTCATTGCCAGGACAGTGTGGTGGACAGAGGCAGTTGTATCCCTGGCCGATTTGTAGAGGCATTGGTTATATGCAGAGTCACAGATAGTTGCCACTTGTGGAGTCTCTCCTTTAGCTTCCCAAGAATCAGATGATGCTTGATCTTGCAACCTCAGAGTAAAACAGACCATTTCATAGAAGTATTGTGATTCACAGAACCTACAAGAGTTTTAATTGCTTCTTAAAATTGTGTCTTTAAGTAAAAACTGTTCAATAAGATTTTTCCAGTGGAGGTTATTGAGGCTTCCCTGATTGGCTACTTTTTGATCAGTTACTAGGTTAAAGACATTGATTAAATTTGCATGTGACACAAGGTAGGGAATGACAGCTACTATGTTTGATGTCAAAAATAGGTTTAACCTGGCTGGTGTAGTTCAGTGGATTGAGTGTGGGCTGCAAACCGAAGGGTTGCCAGTTCGATTCCCAGTCAGGGCACATGCCTGGGTTGCAGGCCAGGTCCCCAGTGGTGCGCGTGTGAGAGGCAACCACACATTGATGTTTCTCTCTCTTTCTCCCTAAAAATAAATAAATAAAATTTAAAAAGATTATAAAATAGGCTTAAAAATGACTGTGCAGATTGAAATCTGAGATAAGTAAAATTTAAAGTTTAAAATAAAACACAAAAATAGCAATACAGCTTAGGGCTGATGCAGCCTAACAGAAGCCATTCTGAACAGAGACCTGCAGGGTCCCTTGACACTGAGGTCAATGATTTGAGCTTATTCCCACCTGAACATGTTCCCCAAAAGCATGGTTCCAGGATTGCAACTAGGTTTGCCAGGTGGGCCTCATTAGACCCTCAGGCAGGCTGGCTCTCAGATTTCCTGCAGAAATGTGAAAGCAAGTTGAGAAGGTTTAAGAGATGAGATTCTCTTCTGCACACACCGTGTGTACCATTGCTGGGTTACTGGTGTACACCACGACAAGTTACAACCAAAGAGAGTAGAAAAAATGCAGAATTCTTGACATTTAAACCACAAATCCCAGTACTACCTCTCTGCCAAAGTACTTTCGCTAAGGGCCAAGTGTGTGAAAGACCTGCTGTAAAGAAGTAAATGTTCTCAAGTTCAGGAGTCTTCTGGACTTATAACCTGAATTTCCTAGCATAGGTCTGGCTTAGTGCATTCCAGGGAAGACTTCCAGGTCATTGCAGTGTATATACTTAAGTCTCAACAGACAAACAAGCACATAACTTAGTTGTGTGGTGTGTCTTTCAACTGTTGGCGCCACAATGTGTCCAGCTCTTCATTAAGACATGTCCTCTGACTCAGGCCACCTGTCTCAGAGCAGGCGACGTCAGCAGGCCAGCCAGAGGTGCACAGACACTGCTCCCTCCTACCCAACACTCATTGTTCTTCTTCCTTAGTAATAGAATCCCCAGTTTTTCAGGTGTGAGGCATCGATGTCCTCAGGGATGACAGGCCCTGCCAATTGTTTGGTCCCATCTCTCGGGCATCACAGTGGGTGGTGGGCATGTGATCCAGTTTCTGCCAGTGAGGTTTGCAGGACTTCTGCTGGGAGCTTTGGGAACAGTTTTGTTGCTGATAGGAGGTGCTTGAGGAGAGAGTATCTTTCTGCATAGGATAGTAACACCTGCATAGGATAGTTAACAACTAAGGTTTTAGCAGCCACTTGCAACCACTGGAGGAAAGTAAAGATGAAAGCCAAGGTGCAGAAACCGATGGGGCAAAAAGAAGGCAAGACTCTGGTCTTTGATGATGTCACTGAGTTGCTGAACTGACCTGGAGCCTCCGACTTGAAGACACCTTGTTAAGTGAAGTAATAAACAAGTGTTGTTTTTAAGCTGCTTTGACTTGGTGTTGTGTTATTTGCCCCATGCAGTAACCTGACAAGGATAGGAGGGTGTAAGGCTGACCTGGGGTGAGGGGAGCCCAGCAGTGGGTGAAGCAGTCACCTGTGAGCCCACCTTCCCTGCCTGCTCCAGAGGATATGGCACTTGTTGGCCAGGTCAGAAGGGGCATCCGAAGTGTGCGAGAGGGGCCAGAGAGCTCTGGGGTGGGGAGACTACTCCCAGAGGAGCTTCCAGAGTGCCACCGCCTGGGACATTGTACCAAGTCCGGAGGGCTGTGAGCTCGGACCCGGCCTTCAGAGCTGACATCTCAGCAGACATCCTCTTCGTGAAGACGGGGGCAGGGGTGAGGAACGGCAGAGCTGCAGCTCATTCCCTGCATCTGGAGGGTTTATGAGGGAGAGAGGAGTTCCCAGGATCAGTAAGGAATTAGGAAAAGGCAGGAAAGAAGGTACCTTCAGACAGTCCTTGGCAGGTCCGGCTGCCAAGTAGGGAAGCTGTGCTGTGGACTGCGTGTTCATGTCCTAAAAAGTCTGTGCACCACAACCTCCAGTGTGACGGCATGAGGAAGTGGGGGCTTTTGGGTGATTAGGTCATAAGGGGAGATCCCTCATCAGTGGGATTAGTGCCCTTATAGAGACCCCAGGGCTCCCCCTCAGCCTTTCCACCTTAGGGAGGACACAGGGAGAAGCCAGCCATTTATGAACCAGGGAGCAGGTTCTCACCAGACACTGAATCTGCTGGTACCTTGATCTTGGACTTCTTATCCCTGTACTGTGAGAAATAAATGCTTGTTTAAGAGTCCTGGTCTGGTCTGCTATAGCAGTTGAGCTGACAAAGACAAGCTGGAATCTTAGAAGAACCACCGCCAGTACTACCCAGACTTGTTGGGGACCCAGCCAGTGCTTCCTTAGCTGGCATGAGGAAAGGCAGTGGGAGGGGAACCAAGCTTCACGAGGATTCACGGCTGGGCAGGGCGGGCACCGCCCCCCTGATGTGATGGTGGGGGCTGGTTGGCTGGGTTGGGGTGCAGTTGGTGCCATGCTCACTGAGAAGGCCTTCCTGGCAGGGATCTCCTTTGAGCCACCCCTTCCTGGCTCATAAGGAGATGCTTCTGGCATGGTCTGTCCCTAAACTAACATGGATGGTATAAAACAGAATAAAGGAATGGACAAAGTCACAATGAAAAACTGAAATGAATTCTAGGTGGTAAAAGGTTTGAAAACATACCTGAAGAGGCCCAGTTAAAGAGGTGGTGTATGTGTGCCTGGAGGAGAGAAAGAATGTTTGGAGAAGTCAGGACAGATGTTTTCTAATAGTTGAAGGGTTGCCAAGCAGCAGAAGAAAGGAACTTGACTGTGTGCCCCTGTTGCCATCCTAAGGGAGGAGGTGCTGTCTTTAT